TATGAAAAAATGCTCAAAATCACTAATCATCAAAGAAATGCAAATCAAAACTACGAGATATCATCTCACCTCACTTAGCTTATAAACAAGACCAAAAAATAACAAATGCTGGCAAGGATGTGGAGAAAGGGAACACTCATACACTGTTGGTGGGAATGCAAAATAGTACAGTCATTATAGAAAACAGTAGAGGTTGCTCAAAAAATTAAAAATAAAACTACCGTATGATCCAGCAATCCCACATCTAGCTACATATTCAGAAGAAAGGATCAGTATACTGAAGAGTTATCTGCACTCCCATGTCTATTGCAGCAGTATTCACAATAGTCAAGATACGGAATCAAGATGTGTCCATCAACAGATGAATGGAAAAGGAAAATGTATAAAATAACACAATAAAATGTTATTCAGCTATAAAAAAGAGTGAAATCTTGTTATTTGTAACAACATGGATGGAGCTGAAAGTTATTGTTAAGTGAAATATGCCAGGCACAGAAAGACAAACATCACATATTCTCATTCACATGTGGGAGCAAAACGAGTGGATGTCAAGGAGGTAGAGGGTAGACCAGAGGCTGGGTAGGGAAAGTGTTTGGGAGGAGAATGAAGAGAAGGTGGTTAAGGAGCATAAAAATACAGTTAGATAGAAGATACAAGTTACAGTATTTGATAGTATAGTAGGGAAATTATTGTTAACTATTTATTGCATATTTCAAAATATCTAGAAAAAAATACTAATGCACCCAACACAAAGAAAAGACAAATGTCTGAGGTGATGGATATCCCAGTTACCCTGATTTAATCATTAAACACTGTACACATGTATCAAAATATCACATGTACCCCCAAAATATGTACAAATATTATATATCAATAAAAAAGAAACTATTGTAACTAGAATCAAAGAAAAGCATCTTGTGCCAGTGTTTGAATTTATTCCTACAACATTCATAAGCTCAATTACAAATCTTCAAAATTTTCAAAATTGTTATAATTGTATATATTGCCCTTTTTCAATCCAAAAAGTTCCCTGTAGTGTGACTTTCTAATAGATAGCAATAGATAATCACAAATAACAAAGTTTCATGGTTAACAACATATGCCATTATATATTTCAAGAAACTAGCTATTGGCTCACTCATTATTTATTTCTAATAAAGTATTTTACCTTTAAAAATGATTAAAGAGAAAATAAAACAAATTATAAGTATTTCTAAAATTCACATACCCAAAGTGAACCAATGTCTCTCAACTTCCTCTCTCTTACAAATGTCCATACTCACTCACATACAATTCACTCCCCAAGGCAGTACCTGGTTTACACTTCTCATTCCTTTCCCTAATGTTACCAGGAGGCCTAACAGAAAATTATGGCTCTCGGATAGCCAGTTATGGGAAAAGTTTTAGGCCTTTGTGGCAAGTCTCAAATTGAACTACTAGCAAGATTGTGTATTTTGGAGTTCCAACATAATCCTAATGATGATCTTAGTTTCCACTAATATTGACAGTTTTTGCCTATAAATCTGAAAAGCATACAGCCTACATAAAGTGAAGACTGCGTGAGCATAAATATGTAATTTTACTTACAAACACCAACTTTTGCCTCTTAATACAACGTTTCAAAAAAATGTACAAATTGTGAGACTAGCCTTCTATTCAAATAATGGTTTAAGATTAATGAATACCTGCTTTCCATGATTTCCGAACCCTGTTGCAAATTAATAGTCTCTGTTGTAATTTCCACTTTCCGTACACTTCCAAAGAAATCAGTTATCAGTACATTTTTAGGATCCCTCTGAAAAAGATCAGTGCGATGTCCGGGAGTAGACACACACAGACTTTTGGGACACACCTGAAACTGAAAAAATATATAATAATAAATTCATGCATCACACATATACAATGTTTATTAAATCCAATGACATAATACACTAAACTATAGTGTATTTTTAAAACTCTCCCAACCCAAAGAAGCTATGCATTCCAAAGAGCTTAAAGATTAAAGTTTCATTCCTATCATAATGCTTGGAATTTTAAGAAAACTATGCAGACATTAGGACAGTAATAAAAAAGTAGCTGGCCACTGTGGGAAAAGGCATACTCACTTTCTTGAATTATATGCTTCAAAGTGTATTGTGAACCCTTAACTCTAAGATCTCACACTCAACATGATGAAAACAGAATTGCTCTTTTTCTTTGTCTGTATCCATCACAGTGGGATGCTCTAGTGGAGTGGTTTTCAAACGTTTTGTAATCATGCCCTTTGATTCAAACTTTAAATTCAAATAAAGTAGTACATGGAGGCCCAATATGTAAAAAACATTTAAGTGGAGTTGCTCTGGATTTCAGAAAACTGAAGCACAGCCTCTCTACTGCATACCCTCTTGCTCTCTATTGTGCTCCTATGTAGCATTTTATATATCAAAGCACTTTCTTAGTTTATCTATGAAAATAAGACCAAGCCACCTCCACAAATACTCCAGTGCTCAGTCTGAAAAACCACAACTTCACTGCAAAACAGACATCACAGTAATTTTTCTGTTAATCTTATCACTGATACTCCATGTCAGTGAATTACCAAGGACAGACATATATTCATTCACTCAGCAAAGCATAAAAAGTGTGTATTACATAGAATTCAGACTTACTTTCCACAGAGGATATGAAGATTGCTAAGACATGATCCTGTCCTCAAGGATTTCAGACTAGTTAGAGATGAATAAACATAACAAGGTAGAAAAAAATGGAAAGTCTCACTTCAGAAAAGGATAAACTTCTTACAGTTTGAGGATGGGAAAAAAACAGACAGTGAAATTCAAGTCTTTTTTTTTTTTTTGAAGGAAAACGAGGACTTGCTGGTGGGAAATAAGAGCATTCCTAATAAAAGAGCAGTTGCAGAGATGTGCAAAGCAAATGATTTAGTTTGGCTGAAACACAAGATATATGAGGAAAAATATTATCGGCCTGACAGGAAAGGTCCAGGCATACAGCACCTATCCACCTGTGAAGATAAGACTGTCTGCACTGGCAATCACCAATATAAAGGCAGCAAGGTAGAGAAGGGTAAAGTAGCTACAATTTATAAAACACAGTGTTCCAAGCACTGTGCTAAGCAGTTTGCGGATATTCTCATTTAAGCCTACCAATAACTCTGAGGTATACAAAAGTTATATCTCCACTTCAAACTAAGGCTCAAAGAGATTAAATAATTTACCTAATACCACACTGCCAGCAATCCTTGTCGTCCCTATTCAGGAAAGCAGTACAAGGAAACACAAAGAAGAACTCAGGATACAAATTAAAAAGGAAAAAAAAGTAAAATGCCAAACAGGAATAACAGATAGAAGACTGGAGGAAAAAAATGACAGATAAAATAAGCAGAGATAAAACTGAAGTCCCAAGAATTCTGAAGATCTCTTGGGTATTCCTGTATGAGCAACTTGATGGGCTTTCTTAGGTACCAGCAAAAGAAAACATTTAAGAGTATAGTCAAATGGGCAGGGAAACACTGAATAATATTATCTTATTCTTTGCTGCCAAAATAAACATACTTCCCCTTATTATGAAGTCACTTCTTTCTTTAAGAATTTTTATCACATCAATCTGATTTCCTTAGCTCAAGTAACACAATGACCCACAGGTCTCATATTACTCAGTTTAATTTTCAATAATCTTCTTCAATTACAGAATGTCCACACTCTAGCCAGGCCATTATCAAAGGTAAGAATCATCTATTATTCCAACTTCTGTGTATCTGCACATATTCTATTTCCTTAGAGTACGCTATACTTTTCTTCCTTCAAACCATACTTCCTTCAAGCCATTATCAAAGACAAGGATCATCTATTATTCCAACTTCCTCGTGTCTGCGGGTATTTTATTTCCCTAGAGTAGGCTATACTTCCCTTCCTTCAAACCTATACTTACCTTTCCAAGAAAAAGTTATTACTAATCTCACTATATTTAAAGGAACCATACAAATGTGCATTGTTGTCATGTCCTTTCATTCATTTAGTAGATATTCAAATGAGCATCTACAAATAAACCAGGTACTGTAATTAAGTTCTGTGGAGTGTAAGATGAATATAATACGGTCCTTACACCTCGTTATTCAAGAAGCTCAAAGCCTTGAGGAAACATCACAAATATAAACAATTATAGTGCAATACTAAAAGTATAATAAAGGTACATGGCAAGACTTGTATGTTCACAAAGGAAAAAAAATTACCTGGAGGATCCAGACATTTCACATAACAAGTAATACTTTATAAATGTGCTCTTCAACTGTTACCAATGACACTATAAATTTTAAAGGGGCTAACACCAGGTCTTCAAATTTTGCTACTGCTAAAGCAACTCACATGGTACTGTGAATACAACTGATACTCAACAAACATTACTATATACATATACTCTAATAGAAAATAGGTATTATTACACAGTTGAGCTAGAGATAGGTTAAGTCACTGCCCTAGTAAACTGCCAGAAAATGAATCATTCTTATTGAATAAGATTACAATAGTCATCATCAAATTTTCAAAATAAAGGTGGTAGGGTAAGATGAGATATTAGTGAGGAATGTTTATTAAAAACTAAATAGCAATTACGAGCAATAAAAAAATCAGTTTCCTTAATCTTTCCTGCATAATCAACAGAAGTATTTTTTAAACAATCATTAGATATTCAATGTGCAAGGTACATATAAACTTTTGAGACAGCATGTCATGCCTTACACAAAATATACAATGTACAATCCAAAAATGAGAACAAACTTTTAAACTGAATTGGAACTTAAGTGACTGTAATTTTTTTACAGTTAAAGTAGCATTATCACAAGTTTTAATATTCAAATTCATATCAATATTTAATAAGCATCAAAATATAAAATCTTCAAAATGAAGTTAGAAAGTAGTTGATATGGTTTGGCTGTGTCCCCACCCAAATCTCATCTTGAATTGCAGCTCCCATAATTCCTACATGTTATGGGACGGACTTGGTGGGAGGCAACTGAATCATGGGGACAAATCTTTCCCACGCTGTTCTCGTGACTGAGTAAGTCTCACAAGATCTGATGGTTTTATAATGGACAGTTCCCCTGCACAAGCTCTCTTGTCTGCCACCATGTAAGACATGCCCTTACACCTCTTTTGCCTTCCACAAGGATTGTGAAGCCTGCCCAGCCATGTGAAACCATAAGTCCATTAAACCTCTTTTTTTGTTGTTGTTGTTTTGTTTGTTCATATTGAGACACAGTCTCACTCTGTCACCCAAGCTGGAATGCAGTGGGACAATTTCAGCTCACTGCAACCTCTGCCTCCCAGGGTGAAGTGATGCTTCTGCCTCAGCCTCCTGAGCAGCTGGGATTACAGGCATGTGCCACTATGCCCAGCTAATTTTTGTATTTTTAGTAGAGACAGGCTTTCACCATGTTGGCCAGGCTGGTCTTGAACTCCTGACCTCAAGTAATCTGCCCACCTCAGCCTCCCAAAGTGCTGGGATTATAGGCGTGAGCCACTGAGCCCAGCCTAAATCTTTTTTTTTTTTTTATAATAATTACCCAGTCTCAGGTATTTCTTCATAGCAGTATGAAAATGGACAAATACAGTAAATTGGTACCAGCAGAGTGGGTTACTGCTATGAAGATACCTGAAAATGTGGAAGCAACTTTGGTACTGGGTAACAGGCAGATGTTGGAACAGTATGGAGGGCTCAGAAGAAAACAGGAAGATGTGAAAAAGTTTAGAGCTTCTTAAGAGACTTGTTGAATGGTTTTAACCAAAAAGCCCAGGCTGAGGTGGTCTCAGATGGAGATGAGGAACTACTGGGAATTGGAGCAAAGGTGATTCTTGCTATGCTTTAGCAAAGAGACTGGCAGCATTTTGCCCCTGCCCTAGAGATCTGTGGAACTTTGAAATTGAGGGAGATGATTTAGGGTATCTGGTGGAAGAAATTTCTAAGCAGCAAAGTGTTCAAGAGGAGACTTGGGTGCTATTAAAATCATTCAAGTTTATGTATTCACGAAGATATGGTTTGGAATTGGATCTTATATTTAAAAGGGAAGCAGACCATAAAAATTCAGAAAATGTGCATCTTGACAATGCAACAAAAAATAAAAACCCATTTTCTGAGGAGAAATTCAAGCCCCCTGCAGAAATTTGCGTCAGTAACGAGGAGCCAAATGTTAATTGCCAAGACAATGGGGAAAATGTCTCCAGGGCATGTCAGAGACCTTCACAGCAGCCCCTCCCATCACAAGCCCTGAGGCCTAGAAGGATAAAATGATTGTGTGGACTGGGCCCAGGACCCCCTGCACTGTGCAGTATAGGGACTTGATGTCCCATGTCCCAGCCACTCCAGCTGTGGCTAAAATGGGCCAAAGTACATCTTGGCCCATAGCTTCAGAGGTTGTAAGCTCCAAGTCTTGGCAGCTTACACATGGTGTTAAGCCTGAAGGTGCACAGAAGTCAAGAACTGAGGTTTAAGAACCTCCACCTAGATTTCAAAGGATGTATGGAAATGCCTGGATGTCCAGGCAGAAGTTTGCTGCAGGGTCAGGGCCCCCATGGGGGGCAGTGCAGAAGGAAAACGTGGGGTTAGAGTCCCCACACAGAGTCCCCAGTGGGGTGCTGCCTAGTGGAGTTGTGAGAAGAGGGCCACCGTCCTCCAGATCCCAGAATGGTAGATCCATCGACAGCTTCCATTGTGTACCTGGAAAAGCCACAGACCCTCAACACCAGCCCGTAAAAGCAAACAGGAGGAAGGCCATACCCTGCAAAGCCACAAGGGCAAAGCTGCCCAAGGCCATGGGAGCCCACCTCTTGCATATGTGACCTGGATATGAGACATGGAGTCAAAGGAGATCATTTTGGAACTTTAAGGTTTAATGACTGCCCTACTGGATTTCTGACTTGCACGGAGCCTGTAGTGCCTTCATTTTGGCCAATTTCTCCCAAGTAGAACAGGTGTATTTAACCAATGCCTGTACCCCCATTGTATATAGGAAGTAACTAACTTGCTTTTGATTTTGCAGGCTCATAGGCAGAAGGGACGTGCCTTGTCTCAGATGAGACTTTGGACTGTGGACTTGGAGATAATGACGAAATGAGTTAAGACTTTAGGGGACTATCGGGAAGGCATGATTGGTTTTGAAACATGAGAATATGAGCTTTGGGAGGGGCCAGAGGCAGAATAAGATAATTTGGCTCTGTCCTCACTCAAATCTCATCTTGAATTGTAGCTCCCATAATTCCCATGTGGCATGGGAGGGACCCGGTGGGAGGTAATTTAATCATGCAGGGCAGTTACTGTCATGCTATTCTCATGATAGTGAGTGAGTTCTCATGAGATCTGATGGTTTTATAAAGTGCATTTCCCCTGCACATGCTTTCTTGCCTGCCATCATGCAATATGTGCCTTTGCTCCTCCTTCACCTTCTGCCATGATTATGAAGCCTCCCAGCCATGTGGAACTGTGAGTCCACTAACCCTCTTTTTCTTTACAAATTACCCAGGCCCGAGTATTTCTTCATAGCAGTATGAAAATGGACTAACACAGTAGTTCTATCAAATTTCACAGCCTATAGCAGTGGGCTTCAGAATCTTTCAGTAAAACCCCCTTAATAAATGAGAACTTACTTAAAAGATTTGTATGTGATTAAAGAGATCAATGCAAAGTTGCCTGGCTGAAGTGCTAGAGGACAGAGCCCTGTCTACTCAGTTTCCCCTTCATTCTAAGTCCCATGAAAGCAGGAACTAAGGAAAGAGGCATCTGCCTCTTTCATTAGGAACAGCCTGTGCTTGGCACTTAGCAAACAAGAAATGTTTGTGAAAGAATAAACAAACTATAAATTAATGGAGAAAAGAATGAAAGTCATTGACACATAGTAAATTATCCAGTCTAGAATTGTTGTTTCAAGCTTTTCATTATGCCTACTTTCAACAGCAACTTCAAAGTGGATTTAATTAAAAGAATCAGCACAAAAAAACTCGAGAAAAAAAACCTAAATTAAGTTCAACAAGCCTTGTCAAATCACTATACTATAAATTGTAGGGACCACAAAAATATGTAAGAAAAGGTCTCTCTTTTCCAGGAGCTTCCCATTCAGTGAGAAAGACTTACATTCAATTAGTAAGGTCAATAAAAGACTGTGGTAAATGTTACTAAGGAGAATTAAAGGTCTATGGAGGCTCTGAAGAAAAAACAAGAAATTCCCACAGGGAAGAATTCGGGGAGATTTCCTGAAGGAGATACAATCTGAGGTGGCCCCTGAAGACTATGTAGAATTTCAAAAGGTGAATCTAAAAAAAGTACGTTTCTGGTAAGGAAAAGAAAATGAGTAAAGGAAAACATCAGGCTTCTTGTAGTAGAGAGACAGAGAAATGCTAATATACAGGTAAAAGGTAGCTATCAAACAGTTTTAAAAGCTATAATTCAACACAAAAAACAGTATCCTCTAGGAGTACAGGGAATAATACACTTCTTTTCACATTAAGGTTAGCATACCTATATGCTATAATCAAATCAAGTGAATACTTACAAGGTCATTCATATTAGTTTGGCTAGCTGGGTTAATTTCTTCCAAAAATTCCAAGACATAAAATGTGTATCTATCCATAAGATGGACTCCAATTGCAGGATCAGGTTGATGCTATGAAAACGTGAAAAAAAGTATTTTTAACAGTGTCATTATAACAAAATGTTTTAAATGTAACCAAAATTTCCTTCTAATGTATTAGTCTAAGAAAGAACAGATACATTCATAAAGCATTTAAAGCATTTAATTGGTTTCAGAAATAGGTGCACATTCCAAAGACACAGTTTACAAATGAGGAAAAGGCACATACCGAGAGTGAATCTTCTCCCACTTGGCTACTAGCTAGAGCCATTATGTTAGGAGAATAAAATCGCTCATACATGGATGCTCCTTGGCAAGTATCAATAATAAACAGTAGCTCATTGTAGCTGAAAGAAAAGTGATAACATCTTTGACAAGGATCATGCTGTAAATCATAGACTAATATTTCTACAATACTTTCATAAGACGTTTAAATCATATGTTAGTCATTTCATTAGCTAAAAGTGTTCAGCAAAAATCCCAACAGAAATTTGACCTTAGAAAACTTAAAGGTATAAATTTGTCCAAGGAAACCACAGCGAGAATTGCTTGTGCCCAAGGTGGTTCTCCCAGCTCTTTTCCCTCTCCCTTGTCTATGCCATATAATTCAGAATCTAAATGAATATTCCATTCAACAAGCACTTATTTGGCATCCATGCTGTCCTAGAAATTGCGCTAGGTTCAGAAAAAGAAGTATGAATTAGTAACTATACTAAAAGAGCATAAACTCTAAGTGAAAGACAAACACATAACTAAATTGGAATGTGACGAGTACTACAAATATATATTGAGTGCCTACAATGTGCCTGATACTATGCTGGAGATACAACAGTCCCTGCCCTCTTACAGCCTAGAGTCTAACAAAATCAAACTATTGAATGAACACTGAGGAAGGACTAAGGAGAACTGCAAAGAAAAGCAGATCAGAGAAAGGTGATGCCCAATATGGGCAATAAAGGGTGTTATTTTGTATTTCAGAGAAAAGAAGATAACATTCCAGCAGAGGGAAAAGCACATAATGTAAAAAAGTATAAGTGCTTGCGAATAGATCTATGTACCTAGGATTTAAAGTAAATTTGGGAGAATGGAGCGAAATTGGTTTCAAAAAGCTAGAGTAGGAACAATTTGTAAAGGATACCATATGAAGTCTGAATCTTATCCTGAAGAGTGGAGAAACCATGAAAGGTTTTTGTTTTTGTTGTTGTTTTAATGAAAGAATAATATAATCAGGTATCTATTGCACAATAAGTTGCCTAGCTGGCAAAAGTTAAAGTAGAGAGGAGATATGTTTTCCGGGAAGTTTTTTCTCAGACACTGGGTCTAGATAAACAGCTAACAAGGAACCTAGAAAACAAAGCATTGAATCTTGAACTACAATATCATCCAAGAAAGTGATAGGAGGCACAATTAACATGACACATTTGTTCTGTGGCAAAATATGTGGAGGCTCCTATGCATTAGAAACATCCAAAGTTAGGAGAGGTTATGGAGTAAATAAGAGAGCAAGCTCTAGGACTGAACCATTTGGGCATGAATCCTAGCTGTGTCAAGTTTGGCAAGTTACTACTAGCTGTGTAAAGTTCGGCAAGTTATTGAATCTTTCTGTGCCTAAGTTCACTCACTTGTAAAAAGGGAATAGTAATAGTATCTAGCCCATAGAGTTGTAAAATTAAATGAGACAATAGATGTAAAATACAGTATGCAGCACCCAGTATGCATTCTCTAACTGTAAGCTATGAATAGGACATAATCAGTGCCCAGTAAAAGCTTCCTCTTCAACACTTCCACACATTGCTTATGCTTTTATTTTAACACTACAGTATTTATTTTGTAGCATCATTGTGTACATATTTCTCTTTTCCATTAGATTGTAAACACTTTGAAGGCATCATATTCCACTTTCTGCCACAGGAATAGAAGATAGCCTGTAAGTATTTATTGAAAGTAATCAAGTTAAAAGTTCTTTCACTTACAGTCATATGTATGACAGCTTCCAACTAAAGAGATGCTTAGTAAGGGTTACTAACAATCATCCTTAATGTGAGTTAAGTTACAAATTTTATGCTAACCATAATTTCAGTAATTTTTTCCCATAGAAGAAATATGGCTATCACATTAGGGGCCAAAGAATGAGCTAGAAAGAACAGGTACAAGTTGAAACATACACAATGTTCATAATCTCCATAATAATAGGTAACTTGGTTGGAGGGGCACTTACTTCCTCTAAAAAAGATGCTAAATAAGAAGAGATGGAATCTTAAAAGGTTAACTATTTCATGTTACAGAATAACTCGTTTTTCTTTTAAAAACAACCCAGTTCAATGGAAATAACAAATGTAAATTTAAAAGAGTCAAAGAAATTGTCAAATTAAGTTAAAAATCTTATAAAATAAAAACAACAAACCTACTAACCATGTGAAAATTAGGTATGAATATAGCTTATGAACTTGTTAATTACCGTCTTTTCTGCCACATTTGTTCAAAAGCATCCGCAAGTTCTATGTTGGTAATTTCTTCAGAATCTTGAAATTTTAAGAAACCATTTCCACCATGTCCTTGTATAAAGAGTAAAAAAGATCAATAGATACATTTTTTAATGCAAACTGCATATATCTAGACATATACACTTACTTCATTACTTTTTGACATCACTTATTTTATACTCTAAAATATATACTATGAAAACAAAAAAATTGAATTTTCTACTACGCCAATTAAAAAGAGAATGATAGACTATATAAAATAGCAGATATAATATCTTTAAGAGGGTTTCTAATATTCAATTCCAGAAACCTGTATTTATGCTCTTCCATTGGCTCCATTATTATATCAGAAATGAGTTTCCATTCATAAAAATGTTTCAAATACCAGGCAAACATTTTTGGTGAGAAAGAAGCTGGAGACACTAGCTAGTCCCACATTTTTACTACAAGAGGTGGACCAGAAGATAGTGCTATTTGTATGCAATCTAGAGGCAGGCTGTCTGGATTCAAATGGTAGCTATGCCATGTTAGTTTAGGAAAATAATTTAATCTTTCTATGCCTCAGCTTCCTCAGCCATAAAGTGAGAAATGTATCTGCAACACTATCATTAGCTTACTTATACAGTTCCTTTGTACAGGTTTTTAAAAGGTACCTTCCACTGGGCATGACAGTAGGAAAAAAAAAAAAAAACCGTCTCCCCACCTTCCTCCTGAATATATGCAGCCCTGCAAGCTTACAAGTGGTTAGTTGACTATGCCTTTGTGGGAGAAACAAGTATTCCTCCCTCCCATTAGAATACAACCCTGTGGTAGAGCAGATTGCTTAGTGTAAGCACATACTAGATTTCAGTTCCCACTTAACCCCCTGGCCAGATTCTTGGGTGCACTATACAACCCACACAACCACATACAGCAACCTTGAATATCGGCACCTAAGTCAATGCACTGCTGTGAGAATGAAATGAGTTAATAGACACAATGATTTAGAATACTGCCTGATGTATACTATGCCTCCATAAATATTATTATCATATTATCATAATTATGAACCCTTTTTTTCTCTTACAGACCCTGGTAACCTTCTACAAAAGAGCAGGTAGTAAATATTTTTGGTTTGTGAGTCATATTGTCTCCAGCACAACTACTGAACTCTGCTGTCGTAGTATGGAAGCAGTCATAGAAACTGTGAAAATCAAATGGATGCAACCATGTTTCTATAAAACTTCCAAAACAGGCAGCCAGTTCACAGGCCATAGTTTATCAAATCCTATCTTAAACTACTAGAATTTGTTCTAAGCCTGCAGTTATTCTGAAATTCCTGAAAGAGTACCAACAGAATCAGGAAACAAACAAAAAATAATAATAATAAATCCTTTAGTTTAATACATCAAATAAAGCTAACCTACAAAAAAACTGCACTTCATCTTGTTTGCCACAAAAGCTTGAAAATTCCTTGTAATTTTCAGAAAAAGTAAAATAAAATTTTTCCTGGCTTCATTAACTCTATTGAGTTAATTTATAAAGTTTATAAATTAAGTCTTGAATGTTATAAATAAATGCAACATGATAGAGAAAAGCCACTAAGTAGGGGTCATTAACTATCTTGTCATGTGATATCTAAGAATTATTCTATACCTGTTTTATCATCAGTTGAATGGAATGCCCTCCAAAAAATTTATAGAACACCTTTTGATTAACATTCATATTTACCGAATACTACTATAAGACAGGCAACTGGTGATTAAAAAAAAAAAAAAAGCAAATATATAATCAATGACATCTTGGAATTCAAAATACAGTGAAGGCAACAGATACCCAAACAATAAAGTAATAATAAGTTAAATGCTATGAAAGAAACTAAAAATTAACATGGAAGTGCATAGAGGAAAGTCCAGACCAGCCAGGGAGAAGAGAAATATCTTTGGATAGGAAAAATATAAGCTGTTATTTCATACCTCTTCTGAAGGAAAAACCAGAAACTATTAATAATAACACTGGGACAACAGGTATAAACTACAACTGTCCCAGGTAATTGGAAACATCAGTCACCCTAGGCTTAGAAAGGAAGTCATGGAAGGAAGTGACTCCTAAGCTAAAACTAAAACGATATGGAATAATCAAGCAGGCAAAGTGGACTGAAAAGACGTCATAAGCAAATGCAAGAGCTTAAACAAATATTTGAAGGACAGAACAGTCAAGCTTGGAAGAGAATTAGAAAAAAGTATTAAGAACTAAGACAAGTTAAAAAATACAGCTAAATCATTATATATATTATTATGTGTAATACACACGATAACTATATTATATTATGGTACACTTTATCTCCAATATTCCTCAAAGTATAATCAAAAGACTACTGTATCTCATATCTGAGGAGTATATCCACAATACAGTTTCATGAATCCCAGCCCAGATGAAAACTAAATAAGAATTCTAAAATAAGGCCTAAGTATCTAAAGTTGGTAATCTTAATGTACAGCAAAATTTGAGATGGAAAATCATTATAAAGTTTTAAGTAGAAGAGGGATAGATTTGCAATTTCTATTAGACACTTTCACAGGATGATTAACAGGAGAACAAAACTGAAGGATGCTATAGCAGGATACCAAGCAAAAGGTGCTAAAGTTTACCAAGTCAATAGTAAAAAAAAATAGAGATAATAAGCAACGGCACAAAACGTTATACTGTTTTCAGATATCATCTCAAATACTTCTGCATCATGGAAAATATAACTACATGAGAAACCATTTTAACCAAAAATCATTTAATGTGTTTAAATTTCTTTCCATGTGCCTTTCTTTTCAAAGAGTTTCAATATATTCTACTATAAAAACTCTAAATTATGAAATTACCTGTCATATAAATTAGAATATTGCTTCTATCATCAGAAAGAAGACGTTTTGACCGAGGAGTACTAGGTGGGATCCTCCCAGTTAATACCCGTAAAAAATTCTCAACAGTTACCTAAGAGGGGAAAAACAAGAAAAATCAGATGAAATAAAACCTGGGAAATCCTGACAAATTACTTTTTACTTTCAAAAATGTTGCTTCTTCTTTCTCCATATATTACTCAGCATCAACTGAAAATAAAACACCCAAAAATTATATAACTTAATTAAAATACATTCATTTAAACATATACCTCCAAGTAACTTTGTTACTATTTTTAAAAGTACTAAAAACTAACAAAGAAGGCAGGCCATGGTGGCTCATGTCTATAAACTCAGCACTTTGTGAGGCCACGGCAAGAGGACTGCTTGTGGGCAGGAGTTCAAGATCAGCCTAAGCAACATAGTGAGACCCCATTTCTATGCACACACAAAAAATGTTTAGAATAGCCAGGTATGGTAACATGTTGCTGTTGTTCTAGCTACTCAGAAGGCTGAGGCAGAAGGCTCATTTGAGCCCAGGAGTTCACCACTGCACTCCAGCCTGGGCAAGAGAGAAAGACTATGTCTCTTAGGAAAAAACAAAAACAAAAACAATCAAAGTAAGACTACCTTGGAGAAAAATAAGTTCTGAATTTAAAACTTTAAATGCTATGTGAAGTGCTGCCTTTAAATACTACCAAAAAGCTGCGCAATTATTAATATGGCTAGGCTGATGGCTCACACCTGTAATTCCAACTACTCAGGAGGCTGAAGTAGGAGGATCACTTGAGGCCAAGTCCTCAAAAACAGCCTGGACAACACAGTAAGACCCCATCTCTGGAAAAATAAAATAAATTAGCCAGGCATGGTGGTGCACACCTGTAGTCCCTGCTACTCAGGAGGCTGAAGTAGGAGGATCACTTGAGCCCAGGAGTTCAAGGCTGCAGTGAGCTATGATATGGCCACTATACTCCTGCCTGGGTGACAGAGCAAGACTCCAGCTCTAAAAAAATAAAAAATAAAAACTATTAATCCCTCTGCATAGGCAATTCTGTGGGAAGATATGAAATATAAAAATTTTTAAATAAATTCAACTACACTATGGCAGCTAATTTGTACAACTACTTAGTCAATTATAGATTAACTATCAAATAAAACAGTTCCATGTTCACTACCTGGGTGACAGGCTCAATCATATCCCAAACCTCAGCATCACACAATATACCTTTGTAACAAATCTGCACTTGTATCCCCTGAATTTAAAATAAAGTTTGAAAAAGAAAAAAAAAGTTCCATATATACTTCCCCAAAATTACATATCTGTAATTTTTGAATGCACTTTGTTTCTTAGATTTTGTTAGTGGTATCTTTAACATGTAAAAAATTCATAACACTTTAAACTAGATTTCCCAATCTAGAATTTCTATCCCTCTGGGATTCTTTGAAGGCATATTTAAAGTTGTAAAGAGTAAAACACTGATTTAAAGCCAACAGCTGAGTCATATATTATGCATATCTACATTTAAAAAGTAGAAAACCTATCCAGTTTTCTTGTTCATCTATTCCCTAGAACATGAGTGTATAAATTGTATGTATACACATTTGTGTGTGTGTAAACTGTTTGATTTACATTTTTCCTTCAAGACAGCAAAATGCTAATTGTTTTAACAGGAATTCTTGTTGGCCAACAAGGAAGGAGGATGTTTGGCCTCTATTTTAAGATGACTACATAAACAAGTAAAAAGTCAAACATACATATTTAATTCAATGAGCCAACATTTTTGAGTGCCTAACACCAGGCTACAGGTACTTGCCAACTATATGATATATAAGATATAGGCCCTCTTAGCTTACAGTCTAGGAGGAGATAGATACGCTTTTAAAATTGCTTCGAAAGTGGTCTGGGAACACACAGGAAATTGTGTCTTACTTTTGGTAGGCTTGGTAAAAGGGGAAGTATTATCTTTTTTTTTTTGAGACGGAGTCTCGCTCTGTCGCCCAGGCTGGAATGCAGTGGCGCGATCTCGGCTCACCGCAAGCTCCGCCTCCCGGGTTCGCATCATTCTCCTGCCTCAGCCTCCCAAGTAGCTGGGACTACAGGCGCCCGCCGCCACGCCCGGCTAATTTTTTGCATTTTTAGTAGAGACAGGGTTTCACCGTGTTAGCCAGGATGGTCTCGATCTCCTGACCTCGTGATCCGCCCGCCCGATTCGCCCACCTCGGCCTCCCAAAGTGCTGGGATTACAGGCGTAAGCCACCACGCCCGGCCAAGGGGAAGTATTATCTAAGAGGACTTCATAAAAGAAGACTTCAAATATTAAGCATATTCACCATCTTTGATATTTAAAATGAAGTTTCAAAGGGAGAAAACACAATGTAATACAATTTTTTTACATTTACATTTTTATTTCTAATCACATAGTCATAAAAAACACTAGAAGCATATTGAAAGTGGTTATTTCTAAGTAGTGGAAATACAGGTGAGTTGTTAGTCACTATAGTTTTTCCATAATTAATACAATTACTGAAACTAATAAGCTTGATAATTTAGGTCAAATAAGAAAAATATATGTTTACTATAAAATATATTTACTGTAAAAGAAAGGTGACACATTAAACCTCTCTATAATACTCTAACATTGAAGCCAATATAAAGTTTTTCTGTCCTAGATAAAAACATAAAATGTTCATGCTTTAATATTTTACTTATATGTCATTGCCTTAATATGACCTCCAGAGACAGTTACATCAAGGCTTCAGTGACAATTAAGTTTAAAGAAAAATAATAAGACAATTTTATTCTGCCATTGTTTTAGAGCTTAAAAGTAACAATGCCATTTCAAAAGTGTGGCTAGATTAAAGAATTTACCTCATAACTTCTATAATCCACTTCCACATCATCTCCATACACATTTAGTTCCATATTCTTATGACTAAACACTGTAGCTGGTTTGGGATTTCTAGGATTACAGGCCATATCATCTGCAAGCATTAGGACAATGTGACTAGGGAAAAAAACAAAAACAAAAACAAAAAACTCCAGTAAATATATAATTCAGATAAAAGGAAAAAGCTAAACACAAATTTATTTATGTCATGTAGCTATTGTGTTCATTTTTCTCCTCCTTCAAAAAAACTATTTTCAACTACATATGTGAAGGCACCTTAATTATTTTTCATATCTTTATGTACTATATATTTTAAAGTAGAGAAATTAGAACAATCTGGCATAAACTTATGAACAGAATTTCAAGTTACTAATGTTTTTCCAAACGATGCATACTTCATGCCATACAGCAAAGGGAAGCTAAAGAAACTGTTTTTCCTCAAGCATCGAAAATATTTTTTAGTAAAATTTTACATTCTCAAAACTTACAGAGTCCACATTAAACTATGATGCCCAAAGAATTAACTTTCAGAATCCCAAATGCTTGAGTATAAAAACATGCAACTGATCAGCAAGTACAATCAGTTTAGCACAAGAGCACACCTCCAAGCCAATCACTTCTGACAAGATCCACAAATCTACTCCATTTCCCTAATACCAGCAACCACCACCTTCTGGCTAGATGTTGGAATAGCTCCCTATCTGGCATCCTGCTTCTTCTCTCACCCTCTTTCAGTTCATTCTTCTAACAGCCCCCAGAGTGATCTTCCTTAAATAAGTCAAATCATTAAATGTTCCCACTTAAAAGTTTCCAAGGACTCCCCATTATATCTGTATTTAATTTTTTGTTGTTGTTGTTCTCCTGCAGTTCCATGCATCCCTATTACATTTAGAGAGAAACTGCAACTCCTTGCATCATCTAAAAGGCTTATTTAATCTGGTCTCTGTCTCTCCAACTTCAGCCTCTAACACCCACATTCTCTATGCTACCTCCACAGTGGCCTTTCTGTTCTTAGAATATGCTAAGCCTTTCCCACTTAAGTGGCTATTGACCAAATTTAGACTTCACTCCTCCCAGATCTTCATATAATTTCAGCCTCAGCTATGGTACTCTATCTTATTATGTTTTATTTTCTTCAGGACATCTATGAATCTGAAATCCCCATCATCTCCTATCACCACCCCCCACCACCACCATTAGAATATAAGCTCTCTGAGGGCAAGGGCTATATCTGTCCTGTTCACCACTGTATCACTCACACTACATACTAGGGCTTGGCATATAGCATGTACTCGGTAAATAATTTTAAGTGAATGAAATATTTTAATTTTTGCTTATAATTTCTTTACAAGGATATAACATCTCTCTTTGATACTTCTCATCTTCACTCTACCATTAAAACTGGTGAATAACAATCAGGAAATTCTCCATTCTACCATATCTTGAGTTTCCCAAGCATAAGGGAAAAATTAATGTGGCATACATAATTAGTTTGGCAGGAGACAGCAAGAAGAAAATGTTCTGCTACATATGTTCCAAATACATTAAAGTTCAAAACTGAAACATTATGATTTTTCTTGAAAATTGGCTAGATTTCTACTCTGAAAGTGTTCCAACCCTGCCACGTTCAAAGATCAGATCTTCAGCTGTTACTGATTCATTTTCACAGCATAGTGAAAGTCATTCCTCTTAAAACAGAAAATGTATCTTCTCTTTTTTAAAACTTAAGGAGATCATTAATATATATTAAATAAATACCAATCATATATTCCTTTGTTAAACAAGACTGAATTGACCTCCAAATGTCAATATAAAAATGAGTATTTCTTTAGGCTATGTTTTCTGTTTAGGGTTAATTTCACTCTAGGAAATGAAGTAATTATTCAATAGCTATACAGTGTCAGTATCAATCAGAAAGAAGTACTAACTTCAACTTAAAATCATAAATTTAATCAACATTTCTCTTAGAGATAATTTTGAGCCTCAATATAAGTACTATGACCTGTTAACATAATGAATATATTGTAAAACACTGTACTTGAAATAATATAGAAAAAGAGAAGTTGGGAAACAGAATGGATTTCAAACGTTTTGAAGTCCAACCACATATTCTAATTCGCTGTTTCTGAAACTCAAGAAGTGTACAGAACTCTTTTCTAGAAAAAAAAAATAATTTTCACTTGGTCGAAGTGTTATTTATACAACAGTATTTAAGTATACACATGCAAACAAACTACTTAGGCTTATAGTTCTTACAAAACTGTAAAATCAAGAGAAAAGTATAAAATTCTAACAAAACGAGCAAACTAATAATACTATAAAAACATTAATCACATTGAAAGATGACATTATTTTCCAAAAACTAAACACCTGCTGCTTTAACAGAAGAGCTTCAAGTCTGGTTCTACATTTAACTTTTTTTGCGTGCGTGTGTGTGTTTTGACATCCATAATTGTTAAAGCGAACTAAAATGGCCTGAGAAGGACTCCATACTTCTATATTTGAGTCCTTGTGGACAAGCTGCAACCTAACTTAAGAGGTAGACAAGATGGAAAACCCAATTTAGGAGTATGCACCTGTAACAATGGCTGAGTCTTGGCCAATGCCAGCAGCCATACTGCAGCCACTCATACATTGCCAAGTGCTCAAACTGTGTTCAAATAAGTAAAATGCCAACCTGTAACCAATCCAGTTGTTTGTGTACCTCACTTTCCAATTTCTGTACCTCACTTCCCTTTGTCTCTAATCTTCTTCTGCCATGTGCTGCACTGGAGTCTCTCTGAATCTGCTGTGATTCTGGGGGCTGGCCAATTAGTGAATCGACAGAAACTGGACCGGGTCCAGGATCAGATCTGTTCCAGTAATTAACTGGCTTGAATCCAGTTAGAGGCTTCTTACATCTGAGTGGGTCAGAAAGAAACTGGTAGTAAGTGGTAATATTGCAGGGGCTATAAAATATGGCTTTTAAAAATTCGCAGGGGACGGGCACGGCGGCTCACAC